TCCTTGAACTGAAGGAAGTGGATCTATAAATAGGCACAAAGAGAGACCAAAATTCTGTCCCAACATGTGCAAACTATTGCCGAACAGATGCGACAATGTTTGAACAGGTTTTGTTTGAAATTTTGAATCTGTCCGTTGTAAAGAACATGCTATCAAACAAAAGGATCCGTTGGTGGTGGTTATGCCTTTCAAACCTGTAGGAACTTTTTGAATTAAACTATTTGGAATATATATATATTAAACAAATTGAATAGTTTAATAAATAAAGTAAGAGGTACAAATTTTAGGAAACCACTTAAGGAATCTAAAATTTAAATTTAGAATTAAATTAAATTCCCACAATAATTTTTTTATTGAAAAAATTCAAAAGAATTTTATCTAAAAAATTAATGTTAAACCCGAAAACGACGTCATCTTCCCATTCACTTATAAATGGTTTTGACGTTCCGTCTTCACCACTACACCTCTTCGCACCCACCCCAAAAGACGTTTGGGATCCACCCAAATTGGGTTAAAAAATATGCCTATAAAAAACCATTTTCCAACACTTCTCTCCCGGCACTTTGGACACCTTAAGCCGTTCAACTGAAGGGCTGATTTTTAGGCGCAAATAGATCTCAGACGCCTCGAACATTTCATTGAAGGAGTGCCCATTGGTCTCATCAATGACGAGAATCCTTTGGGATGAAAAGTTTCCCGGAGGCCTCCCATTTTGGATAAGATTTTGTCATGGAGCTGCTGTGGTATAAGCTGCTTGGTCATGGCCTGGACTTCATTGAGAACATACCGGACCAGCATTGCCGAGGCAGCAAAAGCGGTGTACGTTGATAAAACTGATGTTGAAGGCATATTTTATGGAGAAAACATTGTTCAAACTTTTTTTTTGAGGATTGTATTTGGTTTGCTTGAATCCTGTCCATTTTGGGGAGATGGGTTTTATAGGACAAATTTGTAGGAGTGAGCTTCCATTGGAAGTAGTTTGAAATTTATAGGCAAGTCAAGCAAACTAGTTATTAAATTGCTGGGGAAGCTGAGGATGACAAGGTCAGCACACTAAATTCTCCAGCAATTCTCAGAAGGCTAGCCCACCATGAGGTTTAAAAAAAAAAAAAAAAAAAAAAAAAAAAAAGAATACGAGTTGACTTCTGTGGTGTGGTATTTTTCTAGGAACCAGAGAGAAGTTTGGGGCCTATCAATCCCATCACAGTTCCACTCTAATCATTTAAATAGTTTATTTTGTAGATCTATATCAGTTGATCATTTATGAAAAATGAGATTGATCTTATAATTGTAAGTACATAATTTCATTAGATTTTTTCTGAAAATAGCTGTCCCTTTTTTCTTTTTCTTTTTTGTGTGGAAAATATGATAATATCATGCAGCTACAACTAGAGAGAAGTCTGATAAAAATGTCCCTTCTTTTTGTGGTTAATTTTTCCAGCAAATTACACTAACACCTTTTGAGATTTCTGTTTAATACAGATCTCCCCCTTATATTTGAAAATTTGCACTTACCTTCCTGTCAGACTAAAATTAAATATTTACTTCTTAACCTTTATACATATAAAATAATAAAATAATATAGATATTTTGTTCATGTTATTTTAAGAGAAATAACAATCATCTTCTTTGATTTAACTCATGCAAAAAACTGAGTTTTTTTATTTTTCATTTTTTTAATATTTTAAGCATTTTTTTTAGATACACCTAATCTAGATATACTTAAGGAGTATAATAATTTGTGAATTCTTTTTTTTAAATTCACCAAATACCAAAAAAAAAAAAATTAAATATAAAAATTCAATACATTATCTTATTTTGTTATATTCAATGAATTTTTTAAAAAGTTTTTTTGTACAAATTTTAAACTTTTTAAATATATCTAAATTAAATTGATCTAATCTAGATATAATGGTAGAAATAAAAATGAAAAATTATATTCATATATAAAAATTTATACAAAAAATATCATAAAAATGATGTGACAGTGATATTGCTGTAAATATAAATCATGGTTATGGATATTTTGTTTTAAAGTGAAATGTCATCATTAACCTATATCGTTGTGTTTGAAAATTCTATATAAAATTTATGTTTGTATATAATCACTTAATAAAAATATGTTCAAATAAAATTTAATGATGAAAAGTTATAGCATGTAGTCATGATGATAGAAATAAGAAATAGTAGGAAAAATGACAAGATGGTCATATAGAAAATTTTAGAACATGACATTAGCGATCTATGAGCAATTTGTAATGAGATTATAAACCTCAGGGTAGGGAATGCAATTTTTCAAATGTGAGAGAATATCTGTATTAGACAGAAACCTCAGGGGGTGTCAATGTAATTTATCCTAATTTTTTATACTCACTCCGTCCCAAAATACGGCTCTGTTTGGTTATATTTTCAAAAGGTGATTCTGTTTCCAAAACTCTACAGAGAAGTCTGTACCAGCTGCGCTTTTCAAATTTTTTTTTTTGCAAATTTTGCCTAACCGGTCGTCCGGCCGGTTGATCGGAATAGTGATTTTTTTTTGTTTTATTTTTATTTTTATTTTTTTTTGCAATTGATATATTAATTTTTATATAATCGAAAAAAAACATTTTCTCAAATTTTAAAAAAAATTTATGTGCTTTAAAATAATTTTGAGTTGTATGTTTAGTTATGAGTTGTAAATTTTTGTATTAAATATCAAATGTCACATCAACAATTCCTCATTCAAATCAAAACTCTTTTCAAAAATATTTTCAAAACTCTTTACCAAACAAATTTTCTACACTCAAATCATAATTCCAAACCCCACAAACTCAAAATACAACTCATACTCTCAAATCATAATTACAAAACTCTACCAAACGCAACCATAGTCTCTTATTCCATTTTCCATTGTCTCAAAATGTTAGTTCATTTTCAAAAATTAAGGACTAAAATAATATGAATTTTCTATTTTACCATTCTTTTAAATTCATTAATAATACAAAAAATACAATCATGACAATTGATATTCCAAAAAAAATGTACTATCAAAGAGTAATTTTGAAGAAAATAATATTTTTAAAGTATAATAACTGTACTATCAAAAAAAAAATTTAAATTCCCTGAAAATGACTACTATTTTGAATGAAGGGAGTAAAAATACTTAAAAAATACGAAAATTTTTATTTCTACACAATTAATTAACTCAGGACACACACTTAATGAAATATTAATTTAATAACAATTATATCTTAAACAAAAATAACTATAATAGACATCAATAACACTCATAATATTATATGAAAAAATTCTTTATATACATCTTTTAAGAACCAATAATCATACACAATAATGAAACCCGCTAATTTAGATTCAATAAATCCAAATAAACTATTCAATTCAACTAATTTTTAAATCTATTTAATTGATGTATATATATACATATATACATGAGCAATTCTTCCATGTCCATGACACCCATTGCCCCTGTGCAAGCACTCAAAAGGCTAGTTAGAGCAAACTCATTTCGTTTCACAGTTGAATTTTTCATTCGATGGTAGAGTTCCAAAAACACAAATCAATCTTCCACTCTTGTGCAAACCCAGTAATCATTGTTGTCCATGAGACTACATTTCTCGCAGGTATTTCGTCGAACACTTGATATGCACTGCCTAACTCGTTGCATTTGCAATAAAAACTGATCAAAAAAATATACTATCAAAGAGTAATTTTAAAAAAAATAATATTTTTAAAGTATAATAACTGTACTATCAAAAAAAAAAATTTAAATTCCCTGAAAATGACTACTATTTTGAAATGAAGGGAGTAAAAATACTTAAAAAATACGAAAAATTTTATTTCTACACAATTAATTAACTCAGGACACACACTTAATGAAATATTAATTTAATGACAATTATATCTTAAACAAAAATAACTATAATAGACATCAATAACACTCATAATATTATATGAAAAAATTCTTTATATACATCTTTTAAGAACCAATAATCATACACAATAATGAAACCCGCTAATTTAGATTCAATAAATCCAAATAAACTATTCAATTCAACTAATTTTTAAATCTATTTAATTGATGTATATATATACATATATACATGAGCAATTCTTCCATGTCCATGACACCCATTGCCCCTGTGCAAGCACTCAAAAGGCTAGTTAGAGCAAACTCATTTCGTTTCACAGTTGAATTTCTCATTCGATGGTAGAGTTCCAAAAACACAAATCAATCTTCCACTCTTGTGCAAACCCAGTAATCATTGTTGTACATGAGACTACATTTCTCACAGGTATTTCGTCGAACACTTGATATGCACTGCCTAACTCGTTGCATTTGCAATAAAAACTGATCAAAGAACTCCCAATATAGAACATTGGTGAAAACCCCAGTTTTAATTGCCAGACAATGAACTTGAATTTCAAAAAAGACAGTGTTTGGACACCATATGAACTCAAAGCACGAGACAGAACAATTGGGTTGGCTCTCAATTCTTCCCTGTTCAGCCTAAACAGCATTGAAATAGGACCCTCCTTTGAGTTCGCAAAATGTTTTGAATAAGACGAAGATGGATTTGGCGACCACCGTGAATAACACCCATCAGTCAATCTTCCCTCAGAAGGTTACAATTTTTCTAGGGAAAATGTTTGGTAGCTCAAATTTTTATGGCTCAAATGGCTCAAATTTGTCAAAACGACGTTGTTTTACACTCAAAATCTGTCAAAACGACGTCGTTTTGACAGATTTGAGCCATTTGAGCCACAAAAATTTGAGCTACCTAACATTGTCGTTTTTCTAGTGCAAAGAGACCAAAGTACCAGCAAGAGGAAAAGCCTTGGTTCCAACAGATCTAAGTATAGCAATTTCTAAGTTTTTGTTTTGAATCGTGGGTTATCGTCAATGGTTTTCAATCAAAAGTGTGTGGAAAGGAAGGTTAGTGTTGTGTGTACAATGGTTAGGAGTGAGAAGTATTTCCTTAGTGTTGTGTGTACAATGGTTAGGAGTGAGTAGTATAATTATAACTTTAAGTGTGTGGGTTGAGAAAATTAATTAATAATCAAATTAATAGGTGTCTGTATTGAGAAAAAATGTACCCTAAGCTAATTAGGTGGGTGGAAATAGAATTTTCCAAAAAATACTCCATAAAAATGAAGTGTATGTTGTGACGTGAATTGTGTTATGCATTTCTATAAAAATGAAGTGGAGCCTATGTAATTTGAGGTAGCTATGCTCTAAGCACCCTGCTATTTCTGATTGACTTATACATTGGTATCAGTGTCATGGATATAATAGGATATTGTGTAGAAAGATGTGATTGATCTTCTTTATTTTGTGCTCAAAAAAAATCTTCTTTATTTTGTGCTAGTGGCTTTTGCATTTTTGTTCCCCTTTAAACTGCTTGACAAAATGCCCCTATGAGTAATCTCTCAAACTGCTCGAACTTAGGCGGATGCATTGCAAAGCCTTTTCCACATTAACATATTTCTCTATGTTTACAGGGTTGTTTTCCCAGTTTACATGTGGGATAAAAAGTCCAGTTGTCTGAAAATTATAGCAGATAATGGTCAAGAGTACGGAAAGAAAAACCCAATTCGTGTTCTTTATCATGGTTACGGACACTATGATGTGTTGCAGAGCCCTTCAGATGATCCATATTTGAAGTTGGAAGATCTGGACCTTTCTTTTATTAATGTTTCACATGTAAGTGCATCTATTAAAACGCATACTAATCTTGTATGATCAATAGTGGCCATGACTTCACCTTTACTAATCTTGTATGATCTGGAAAATATGTTTAGCTCTTTGCTTCTCAAAAATATTGCATTGAGCTGCCACAAAAATTGCATTGTGTTAATTGTTATATTCATCTTCTCTGTTCATTTGTGGTGTGTTGTTCTGTATAAGGTATTATAATGAAGATACTACTTTATCTGTGTTTTTTTTTTTTTTTTTTTTTCCATCATTCTCATTATTATACTACTTTATCTGTTTTTTTTTTTTTTTTTTTTCTTCCATCATTCTCGTAATTTGTCATCGAGGCATGAATAAAAACTAGGTAAATTTCAAAATTTCTCATTTTCAATTTGGTGTTCGAATTCTGAATTCTGAAGGAGTTGTTTGGATTTGTTGTTTTGGGGTTTGATAGAATGTCTAGCTGAGAGGAATCTGGTGCTTTACTTTATTATTATCGTCTCTATGATTGTATGCGGTACATATCCAATTCTCATGTCTGGAGGAGTAATTTTGGTTTTGTAGTTTAGGTGTTTCACAGAATGTCTAGCTGAGAGAAATATGGTGGGGGTACTTCCTTATCCCATCTATGATTTTTGTGTGGTACTCGTGGTTTTGCTGATTGCAATGGGGTTTCATTGATATTAGGAATTTTATGAAGTTTTGGACGACATCTGTGAGTCCTTGATATTGGTTTGGAGTTTTAAGAAATTAGGAGAGAAAATTATATGAGCATCAAATTTGTTTGGTCTGTATTGTTCATGTTAGGCACCAAACAGGAAAGAAATAAACTGTGTTCACACGAAAATTAACTCTATGGATCCTGTTTGGTTTTGCTTCTACCACTATGAAATCATTTACTTCACTGATCAGGATTATACTAATTATTAGAGCCTGCAATTATTACATAAAACATTATTTGGCTTGCATAGGCAAATACAATGCTCACATGTTCTTGAATCCCCTCATCTTCTGATTCTTCCCTTTTTTGCCTTCCCCTTAGTTTTCCTCGTTTTATTTTCAGCTCGTTTGTTTCCTGGGCATTCTTTTGCTTGTTCACTGACTTCTTCTCCATTTTCGCTGTCTTCTTTTTCTTCTTCAGCATTGGCTTTATCATGTTCTGTTTTCTTCTTATGTAGGAACTTGATGAGACCTCCAAGGGCTATGTCTGCTTCATCACTTTTCATGAGCTCTTCTGCAATCTCTGCAGGGGTTACCTCCACCTCTGTCACGAGTTTCTCGATTTCAGAAAACATGGAGTGATTGTTTATGCTAAGGTAGTTAGAAGCAAGAATCTTAAACCCACAAGGAGTGCAATAAGACATGTGGATGTGCATGTCCATGCGACCGGGTCTCAGCAATGCAGGGTCTAGTCTATCTTTGTGATTGGTTGTAAATATGATTATCTTCTCATCACCACAACTTGACCAAAGCCCATCAATAAAATTAAGTAGCCCAGATAGTGTCACCTGTCAAGAAGAAAGTGAAACATTTATAAGTTATAAAAATAAGTAGTTTTAAGTTTGGGCAGAGACTTGAAGTTAGGTTTATGGTAAGTCCTCCAATGGCCGGGGATCCTCTGACCACTGGAGTCACGAAAACACGGGAATTTCAAGACACAGTCATATGGCTAGGGGTGCATTGGGATTGGGGGCATGGATTTTGGGGAACTGTGCCCCCTCTTATACATCATACTAGCTAAGGCAGCCGTTGTAGCAGGTTGAAGAATTATGGGTGTTTCTTGGAGAGTAGACCTTCAGACTCACCTGACTGTCACCATTGTTGTATCCTCCAGCTTGTCGGTTCTGAAAGTTGCTGCTGCAATCAATATCCTCAATCACCAAAATTGATTGATTTGCAGTAGAGATTAGATGTCTCCTAAGCTCTGCATCGCTTCTGAGGCTTGTGAGCTCCAAATCATATATATGGAACTTCAAATAGTTAGCCATGGCAGCAATCAAGCTGGACTTGCCCGTGCCTGGGGGCCCGTACAACAAGTACCCACGTTTCCAAGCCTTGCCAACTCTTCTGTAGAAGTGTCTTCTCTTCACAAATCTGTCCAAGTCATCTATCACCTCCTTCTTCAGTGTAAGATCCATTGCCAATGTGTCAAAAGTGGAGGGATGGTTTAGATTGATTGAACTCCATGCTCCATAATATGAGTTCAGCTTCACTACCTTGTTTTCTTCTTTTATTGCTTTTGACCTCTCCAATACGTATGGCAAGTAAGAGCTCAGCACCATTTCCCTGTATTTCTTGTGGAAGCTGAGCTCAATTGATCTACGTGCCACAATTTCTGTTTCAAAGCCACCTGCATAGTCAGTGCTTGCCTTTTGTGTCTCAATACATATCATTTGCCAAGTGAGTTGGACACCTTCAAATGAATCCATAATCTTTTCCCCTTGGTTGATGCTGACACAGAGGTCCTTCTCTCCTGGCGCTTTGGACACCTTAAGCCGTTCAACTGAAGGGCTGATTTTTAGGCGCAAATAGATCTCAGATGCCTCGAACATTTCATTGATGGAGAGCCCATTGGTCTCATCAATGACGAGAATCGTTTGGGATGAAAAGTTTCCCAAGAGGCCTCCCATTTTGGATAAGATTTTGTCATGGAGCTGCTGTGGTATAAGCTGCTTGGTCATGGCCTGGACTTCATTGATGACAGACCGGACCAGCATTGCCGAGGCAGTGAAAGTGGTGTATGTTGATAAAACTGATGTTGTTGAAGGCATGTTTGATTGAGAAAACATCGTTCGAACTTTTTTTTGAGGATAGTATTTGGCTTGCTTGAATCCTGTCCATTTTGGGGAGATGGATTTTATAGGAGAAATTTGCAGGACTCTGAGCTTCCATTGGAAGCTGTTCGAAATTTGGTAACAAGGCAAGTCAATTAAATTGCTGAGGAAGCTGAGGATGACAAGGTCAAGCATGCTAGCCCACCCTGAGGTTAAAAAATTAAAAAAAATCCCCAGCTGACTAAGCTGTCTTGGTTGACTTCTTGACTGACCTGTTCATGTCTTATGTGGTCTGGTATTTTTCTAGGAACCGGAGAGAAGTTTGGTTCTGTCCAGTTGGGCCTATGAATCCCACCACAGGTCCCACTCTAATGATTTAAATAGTTCATTTTGTAGATCTATATGCGTAGATCATCTATGAAAAATGAGATTGATATTATAATTATAGGTACATAATTTCAACAAATTTGCTTTTAGAAAAAATAGAAGACAAGTATTGTTTTGAAGATAAGCATCCATTTTTTAAGAAAAATATGATGAGTACTCTCTCAAACTGCCCACACGAGTACTCTCTCAAACTTTCTTTGTGAAGCCTGTTCATAGATGCATTGCAAAGCCTTTTCCACATTAACATTTTTCTCTGTTTATAGGGTTGCTATCACAGTTTACATGTGAGATAAAAGGTCTTGTTGTCTGAAAATCATAGCCGATAATGGTGAAGAGTACGGAAAGAAAAACCCAATTCGTGTTCTTTATCATGGTTACAGACACTATGATGCATTGAAGAGCGCTTCAAATGCTCCATATTTGAAGTTGTAATACCTGGACCTTTCTTTTATTTATGTTTGGAAAATGATATACTTGTTCACTTTTTAGACTCACTTTCTAGATGTAATGATGTGTAAGTGAGATGATTGGGTGATAATTAGAGAAGATATGAGTGAGAGTGTTGCCATAGATATCTAATTTATTGGCACATCATTAAGTTTGTAAAGTGGGTCTACTTTTTGAGCTTGAATAACAATGTTCATTTATGTTTTCACATGTAAAAGCATCTCAAAACTCAACCCATCTACACCAAGACACCACATGTTAATAAGAAGGATGATTGCTCGTGAAGAATATTTTAAGTTCGGCTTTACTTTGATATTTTGGAAAATATGTGTAGCTTTTTGTTTCTCAACAATATTGCATTGAGCTGCCACAAAAATTGCATTGTGTTCGTTGTTATAATCATCTTCTCTATTCATTTGTGATGTGTATGTTTTGCATAAGGTATTATAATGTAGATACTACTTTATGTGTTGTTTTTTTCCCCCATCATTCTCATAATTTGTCATCAAGGCATGAATTACGACTAGGTAAATTTTGAAATTTCAATGATGATACTTGATGCAAAATTTGAACCGCATCCTCATTGGAGCACCTTGAACTAAATTTCTTTGGCCATGTATTAAGTAGTAACTAAATGTTTCCTTTTCATTTTTTCTACATTTTTCTGACTCACCGTTGGCGGCTGTGGATTGAAATAGTGCTAATGAAGTCTTGCAATTTTCTGCAGAATACATTACAACGATCTGTAGTCAGTCTTATAATCAGCCTCGTATTCTCTTATAGTATCAACAACTTGCACAGTAGGCTGTCAACCAGCAGGTTTAAACGATTACCCAACTTTTATATTAGACATTCATTTTGTCAGGCTGTTTACTTACTCTTCTCAACAGAGGTCTCTCTGCTTCTTCTACTATGTAATCGTTCACTTCACTAATCAAACTTATACTAATTATCAGTGCCTGCAATTATTACATAAAATATTATTTGGCTTGCATAGGTAAATACAATGCTCACATGTTCTGGAAGCCCTCAACTTCTGTTTCTTCCCTTTTTTGCTTTTCCCTTATTTTTCCTCGCTTTATTTTCAGCTACTTTGTTTCCTGCACTGTCTTTTGCTTGTTCACTGACTTCTTTTTCTATTTCGCCGACTTCTTGTTCTCCTTCAGCATTGGCTTTATCATGTTTTGTTTTCTTCACGTTTAGGAACTTGACGAGCCTTCCAAGGGCTTTGTCTGTTTCTTCACTTCTCATGAGTTCTTCTGCAATCTCTGCAGGGGTAACCTCCACCTCCGTCACGAGCTTCTCGATTTCAGTAAACATAGAGTGATTCTTTATGCCAAGGTAATTAGAAGCAAGGATCTTAAACCCAAAAGGAGTGCAGTAGGACATGTGGATGTGCATGTCCATGCGACCCGGTCTCAGCAATGCAGGGTCTAGTCTGTCTTTGTGATTGGTTGTAAATATGATTATCTTCTCATCACCACAACTTGACCAGAGTCCATCCATAAAATTTAGTAGCCCAGATAGTGTCAACTGTCAATAAGAAAGAGAAAGTAAGAAGCTAGTGTATGCGAAAAAAATAAAAATAAAAATTGGTATTTTTTAAGCTTGGGCAGAGAGACTTGAAGTTAGGTTAGTGGAAAGCCCTCATCCTCTGTTCCACCCACACCCTCCCCTCATAGTCTATGCTACTAGCTAAGACAGCCATTGTAAGTTTTGCTTGGTTCAACAAATATAGGGTGTTTCTGGGAGCAAAATGTAGTTAGTTTTGTTTTTTCTTGCATCACATTAAAGTTTTGCTTCATCCATTAAATTATTGCAGGTAATGTAATGCAATGGAGAGTAAGCCTAAATACTCACTTGCTTGTCACCATCGTTGTTTCCTCCAGCTTGTCGGTTCTGAAAGTTTCTGCTGCAATCAATGTCCTCAATCACCAGAATCGATCGATTTGCAGTAGAGACTAGAAGGTTCCTAAGATCTGAATTGCACCGGAGCCTTGTGAGCTCCACATCGTAGATGTGGAACTTGAGATAGTTAGCCATGGCAGCAATCAAGCTGGACTTGCCAGTGCCTGGTGGCCCGTACAACAAGTACCCACGTTTCCATGCCTTCCCAACTCTCCTGTAGAAGTCTTTTCGCTTCACAAACCTGTCCAAGTCATCCATCACGTCCTTCTTGAGTGTTGGATCCATTGCCAATGTGTCAAAAGTGGATGGATGATCTAGATTGATTGAACTACATGATCCCCCGTATGAGTGGAGCTTCATTACCTTGTTTTCTTCTTTCATGGCTTTTGACCTCTCCAATACATATGGCAAGTAAGAGCTCAGTACTATTTCCCTGTATTTCTTGTGGAAGCTGAGCTCAAATGATCTTCGCTCAGAATGGATGAAGTCCTCGTCGTCGTCAGAGTCATAATCAGGACCTGTCTTTTGGGACTTGGTACATTTCAATTGCCAAGTGAGTTGGATATCTTGGAATGTATCCACAATCTGTTCCCCTGGCTTGATTGTGACACAGATGTGCTTCTGTCCCGGTGCTTTGAATACCCTCAACCGTTCAACCGAAGGGCTGATTTTCGCACGCAAATAGATCTCCGATGCCTCGAACATTTGATTGATTGGCTGCCCATTGTTGGACTCATCAATGTAGAGAGTCATTTGGGATGAAGAGTAGCCTATAAGGCCTCCTAGTTTGGATATGATTTTCTCTTGGAGTTGCTTTGGTATAAGCTGGCAAGTAATGGACTGGACTTCATTGAGCACAGACCTGACCAGCATTGCTGAGGCAGTGAAAGTGGTGTATGTTGATAAAACTGAGGTTGTTGAAGGCATGTTTGGTAAAGAAGAAAACATGGTTCAAACTTTGTTTTCTAGGATTGTATTTTGGTTGTTTCAATGAATGCCTGTCCTCTTTGGCGAGATTGATTTTATAGAACAATTTTGCACATTATGATGATGTAAGACCTATGATGTAAGATTCAACAGGTGAGACTTGAGATCTGTGCTCCAAATAAAAAGACAGAAAAAAGGAAAGGAGGAGGAAGGTGCCGTGAGGACTTGTGCCTTTGTGGAGGAGATCTAGAAGAACCCACCTCCCTGTTTTTGGACTGGAGGGTCCGGTTTCTCTAGTTGTGGACCACTCGAAGTCTATCTTGGTGATCTAAGCCATTTAAATTATAAATCTCGTCCAGCTGTTTATTCATGTAAAAATTCAAGCTGATTGGTCATCGATAACTACATGATCAATTTATATTTGTATAAAAAAATTGACAATATTTCTGAAATCGTATTTAGCAGTCCATTTTTTATTAAAGAGAAATGCAATGTAATGAATTAGTTTTCAATATCTGATTAATTTTTTTTTTCCATGAATGATCTATACAATAGTTGTTATAATTCGCACCGAAACGGATTCAAAGTGTGCCCACAAAGGTAAAAACTGGACCCTCCAGTGCAAAAACTGAATTGGAGGCAAGATGGGTTCATTTTAAAAAAGCCGAAGCAGCCGAAAGTTGAGTTTTTATTTATATGTTTATTGGAGATTGAAATGGAATCTTATTATTATTGTATTTTATTCTTACAGGTGCCTTAAAGCATTAAGGGGCTTGAAAGTTGAAAGTAGCCTCGTGGAATCAATAACATGACAATTCCGTTCTTTCTTTATTTTTTTCATTTAAAAAAAAAAAAAAGTTTTCCAATGGATGAAGTCCAGCTTAATCCTGAGCAAAACCTATAGATATATATTAATTTTGAAAATCTATATAAGAGTGTTTGATATAATTTATGACTTATAATTTCTGTTTAAATAAATTTAAAAAACTTATTATTGGAAAAATGAGGGAGAGATGCTTTTTAATTTGTATTTTTGATTATTGCAAGAAGTTACATTAAACTGGTCAAATGTCAATGAGAAGCTTTTTTTTTAAAATTTATTATCTGTCCTTATTTTATATTGTAATTTATTATGTAAATCTACTTTTGTTTTCAATTCTTTATACTAAAATTTTGGAATTATTTCCAGCTTTTGGATACCTTTCAGAATTCATGAAGGCCCTTTTTAGTTTAGTGTGAACTTTTAAAAAAATAGAGAATGTTTTTGTTTTTTTTGTTTTTTTTTTGATTGTGTGAAGGCCTTTTCTAAAGTGAGCCTTCTAAAAGAAAAATAAAACCGCATTATAATTTTTTATTATGTTCAAAGAGTTTGAGGTCTTTTTCATAATGTATATTTGAGCGTAAAAAATCATTTGGAAAGAACTTTTTTCTATTTATTATCCCACAGAACACTTCACTTGTAAGATGTTTCTCTCAATTCTCTTTTGTACTAAAAGTGTGCTCTAATTTTAGAACAAATAAAACTAAAAGTTGCATATAGTATGGTCCATAGTCAAGGTTGCCGGCCTTGATTGTACATAGGAGGTGAGCCCCTAAGTTCTACCCAAGTGGTGGAACTCTCTGCCCAAAATAAATATGTTTTTTCAGGAATTGTTATGTTTTTAGTGATTGTTTTAAAAAAATAGGAAAAATGATAAATTTTTTTAGTATTTTTTTTTTAAAAAAAAATACTAAAATATGGTATTGTCAAAGTAACTTTTTAAAATTAATTTTAATGGAGATATTAAAATGGGAGAATTACTTGCCAATGGATTTAAAATAAATAAATTACAAATCAATGATAAAATTTATACACTTTAACAATTAAAATGATATATTTTTTTATGATTTTCTAATTTTTTTTTTACTATATCACTATACGGTTATTTCCCCTATTAAAATTATGTGTATTAGTACCGTAGTATAATTTTGTGTTTGGAAAATGTTTGGTAGTTCAAAATTTTGTGACTCAAATGATTCAAATCTGTTAAAATGACGTCGTTTTTTACTCTTTTACACTCAAAACGACGTCGTTTTGAGTGATTTGAGCCACAAAATTTTGAAGTACCTAACATTGTTGTTTATGTTTTAAGGTTTGATTAATTTAGTGATCATATTATATGGTTATTGCAAAAATATCTAAAATTTATAGTGTGTTTAGATGCGTACATGTAAAGAAAATAAAATGGTGGAATCATACCCAAAAAAAAAAAAAAAGTACGATTGTCCCGTGCATGCACTGGATCGACATGAGCGTGTATAGATAGATGCGCACGTGCAAAGAAAATAAAAGGGTGGAATCATACAAAAAAGTACGATTGTCCCGTGCATGCGCCCCCCCAGGTCAGATGTTTGTGAAGGGAAGTGGGAATGCTGATTTTGTGACTCAAAAGTGGCTCAAATGGCCAAAACGACGTCGTTTTGGCCATTTTTATGTTGTTCTGTACTCAAAATAACGTCGTTTTGGCCATTTGAGCCACTTTTGAGCCACAAAATTTGAGCTACGTAGCATTGTCGTTTTAATAATTTGGATTGTTCATTCTTAAAATATATTAAGTAAAATATAATTGTAAAAACTTAAATTAATTAGATATTATTTACTTATTCATCCACTAATATCTGTATTTATTTTAATATTTTAAATTACAATTATTATTTATTTTTATAGATATAAATGTGAGCAGATAAAATAGGTAAATTATATCCGATTAACTTAATTTTTTGTAAATATATTTTACTTAATGTATTCTAAAATGTGAACAGTTCAGATTATCAAAATGTGTCCCAAAATAGACCCATTTCTTCATACAACAGGCACCGCTACGCAGCCCGTACAGCAATATCTCCAATTGCGTGAAGTATTCACCATTAAAAAGAAAACAACATCTGAACCATTTACCAAAAGATGATTTAAATAAGTTTATTTATTTTTTTTATGAAAAAATGTGTAAAAAAATAAAAAGATAATGTGACTAAAAAATAAAAAGATAAAATTGGAGTATTTTTTTTGCTCTTTAACTAACAAACTCTACTACCTTGTTACACAAAAACACACATAAATGCACCACCATGGATGCTATAAGAGTATCTCCGATGCAGAACGTGTTAGCATTATGTGTGTTAATTGGTAAAAAATAGTAAAAATGGAGTTTAATTTTGTGTTAAGGTTTGTTTAATTTTGTTAGTAAAAATACTAAAAGAATTATATTTTATTAATAATAAAATAAAGAAAATGAGATACAAATAGATCAGGCTGAAACACGGATATCTCGTTTTCTTTAAGGAGATCAAGCCCACTGCGATAGGAAGAACTCAAATACCGATGCAGCAGTCACTAAGTTATCAGTTGTCTCCTCTAGGATACAACTGTTGGAATTATGATTTTTTATAGACTTATTTTGGCCCAAATTTGAGTGGGTCCTACATGTCTTTTGGGGTGGGTCCAAAGAGGTGATGTGTTCCTTGCCGCGTGACGAGTCACACAGTGCAAGCGGTTCGTCAAAACCATTTATAAGTGAATAGGAACTTGACGTCATTTTTGGGTTCGTGGAATGGACAATTATGTGGGTTTCCTTGAAATAATAGTCTCACATTGAAAACTTAAGAGAACTTATGTGTGTATATAAGTTTTAGGTGGCAATACTTGGGTTGGCCAAGTTTGTAGAAGGGAGGAGTTTTGGACAAAATGGGCATTGGCTCAAACCACCACAAGCGTACGCCGCCGTTCAACTGAGCCAAGCGCAGGTGTGGGTCGAGTTAGTCCTAATATTAATTTTTTCCAAAAAATTCTTGCGGGAAAATTATTTTTATATAAACAAAATTAATTCAAATGTTGTGCTAAATTTAAATTTTCTGTCGTTCAAACAGCTTTTCAACATGTTGCATCGGACAGATTCAGTTTCTTCCCAGACAAATTCAAAACTGTTTTCAAACAGTTTTATGTAGCTATTCAATTCGAAATTAGATCTATTCATTTTGAAAAAATACCAGTTCAGCCATTCTGAAAAGGCACCTAATTGCTTATAAAAACAGATCCTCTTCCAGCAGATTTTTAATTCTGAAAATTCTCTTCTTCTCTTCTTTGTGCTCTCTTGCATAGATATATTCTTCATATTATTGTTAGGAAAATTCTGAGAAACATAGAG